CTGTAAGTGTGACAGAATTTAATGTGAATAAAACAATCTGTATGAGGCTTCAGTCCCTACAAAGACTGAAGAGGCATGATAGTGTCCTTGGACTTGAGAGAACTGAAGATTGCACAGACAGAAATTCCCATTTCCATCACTGAGAGAGAATTCAATACCACAAGCAAAAGAATCAGAATCGTAGGACTGGAAGGGACCTTGAGAGGTCATCTAGTTCAGTCCCCTGCATTCAAGGCAGGACTAAGTATTATCTAGACCAGAGGTGGGCAAACTACGGCCCGCAGGCCACATCTGGCCCGGCCCCTGAGCTCCTGCCCCAGGAGGCTAGCCCCCTGCTGCTGTTCACCCTCCCCCGCAGCCTCACTTTGCCCCGCCACCATGCTCTGGGAGGCGGAGCTGCAAGCTCATGGGGCAGCGCAGATCCAGTGCTCTTTGCTGCGCGGTGGCGTGGCTGGCTCCAGCCGGGCGGTGCAGCTGTAGCACTGCCAGTCACCAATGCTCCAGGCAGTGCAGTAAGGGGGCAGGGAGCGGGGGGGTTGGATAGAGGGCAGGGGAGTTCGGGGGAGTGGTCAGGGTGTGGGGGTGTGGATGGGGTCGGGGCGGTCAGAGGACGGGGAACAGGGGGGTTGAATGTGGGCAGGGGTCCTGGGGGGCAGTCAGGAATGAGAGGAGGGGTTGGATGGGGCGGTGGAGGGCAGTCGGGGCAGGGGTTCTGGGGGCAGTCAGGGGACAGGCAGAAGTGGTGGTTGGATGGGGCAGGGGTCCCGGGGGGGGTCATCAGGAATGAGAGGAGGGGTTGGATGGGGCGGTGAGGGGCAGTCAGGGGTGGGGGTTCTGGGGATGGTCAAGGGCCAGGGGGGTTGGATAGGGGAGGAGTCCCGGGGGGGGGGGCAGATAGGGGGTGGGGGCCGGGCCACGACCCCCTCCCGTAACCAGCCCTCCATACAATTTCCTAAACCTGATGCGGCCCTCAGGCCAAAAAGTTTGCCCGCCCCTGATCTAGACCATCCGTGACAGATGTTTGTCAACCTGTTCTAAAAATTCTCTAATGACTGAGAATCCACAGCCTTAATTTATAAGGGGGGGGGGGGGTCGCACTCAGAGGCTTGCTATGTGAAAGGGGTCACCAGTACAAAAGTTTGAGAACCACTGTTTTATGAACTTGAAAATGTATGTCCCTCCTCAGGCTTCTCTTCTCCAGACAAACCCATTTTTTTCGATCTTCCCTCATAGGTCATGTTTTCTAGACCTTTAATCATTGTTCTTGCTCTTCCTTGGACTTTCTCCAATTTGTCCATATCTTTCCTGCAGCCATGCTGTAAGAACAACTGTGGTGAGAAAACTACTCCGAACAAAAGTTTGTTAAGTTGGGTTTTTAGTCTTAGAAACGTATTTTTATTTTTGTTTGTTTGTAACCATTTCTATCCCAATTCCTTCTACTCGGTATCCGCTGAATACAAGTTCTTTGTTAATAAACTTAATCTTGTTTTATTACACAACCATCTCAGTGCAGTGTTTCAAACTGAAGAGTAAAATCTTCAGCCAAACTAACAGGCTGGTGCTAGGTACTGTCTCTTTAAAGAAGCAGCAAACTTGATAAGGTTTTGTGAGGGACTAAGCACCGCAGAAGACATGGTTTTGGGGAGACTGGGAACTGGAAGGCTATTGGTGTCACTGCACAAAGAATAGCCAGGCTGATAGAAGCCAGGGTGAAGTCATTGTGCTGTAAGCAGGCTGCTGGTGTCAGGGATCTAAGCTGCACAGTACAGAAGCACCTAAGGCTACAGGGCAGGTGGTGACATAACCCCTTAATTGTTTGGATGAACCCCCCAAAGCGTCACAGTACCTCATTATTCAGAAAATTTATACCCTGCATAGGTTGGTGGTTAATTTTTTTAAAACAGTTCTTGACATGCTTTAACCTAGCAGTTTCAGATTTAATTTTAGTTCACTTTTAATTTAATATTCTGACAATTCAGCTCTAACTTGTTCTGAAATGAAAAAGGACTACAATGCTCAGGAAAGCTGGAAAGTTCTGATATTTCAAACTGCTGAGTGTAAACAGACCACAGTTTTGGGGAGACAAAGCTGCAGTAAACTGAGCAAGGACCCAAACAATCAACATTAACTCTGGATACCAAAGGAGGACTACTAAATGCAATTACAGCATTCGTGTTAGGGAAGAAACAACTTCTGATAATTTAGGCAAATTACTTAGAAAAATTGAGTTTGTACCTGTTTTTATCATGGAAACCACAGGAGGTGTTTTATTATGGGAATTAAACAGAGCTTATCCTAATGCAAGATGATTTTTACAATTCCCCCCATGAAGAATCTAAATTGTAAAAATTTACGTAGACAAAATATTTTGGAAAATGCCACACTTCTAAAGACAAATGTAAAGTCAGAGAAAGAGCCAAGTAAGTACGATATTTCCATTTTTATTTTGAGTGTCATTGCTGACTTTCTACTATGCATATTTTTAGTAATTTACAGATGGGAAGTGGCTGCATAGAAACCCTCTGACAATTATTTTCTTTATTGGTGCATGCACACGGAAATCCTCCCAGACTGCACATCTCTGTAGGCAAAGAAGCAAATGCCTTCTTAAATACTATTCACAATTTGGAACCCCCAAAGACTTAATGGGTGCCATGCACTACCTTGGATAAAAAACTGACCGATTGACACCATTTTGACTGACATCACAAGAATAGCCTGATCTCTAGATTTTGCTCAAACGACTCACTCCTGAGGCACACCAAATTTCAGAAAAATCTGACTAAGCATGTTGAGTTTAGAGGACTTTGTGTGAAGGTCAATCTTTAAAGAGAGGTGGTAATGCAACCTTAACTATAGTGGCACTGCTGCACCACTATTCTGGTAGCAACACTCAGTCACTTCCAAATTCTGTTGGAATTAAATTGATAACCTGGTGGTGGAAGCTCTTTATTCCAAAACCAATCCTCAGAGTCATCCAGTCCCCTATTATATTGTTCTATTTTAAAATGTAGCTTTCAGTAGTAGGCTCCAAAATTCAAATTGTAATTAAACCTAATTTTCAAATATATTTCACAATTTATTTCTGATGCAAAGAGCTTCTCATTTTATAATTTCAGATGGCTGGGTTTCGACAAATGGGTACAATTTACTTTTAAAATGGTAAAAAAATAATTTATAAAATATGATTACAATAAATTGTATGGGGGAGTTCTTAGGTGATACTGAAATTGAATTGTCAGATTCTTAGAGAAGTCACTCGCTGTTCTCTGCCTAATACTATTAGCATGAAATGCTCATTTCATTTCATACTCATCTTACTATAAATAAAACCACTGAGATGTATTTGTATTGTTGAATTGCATTAGTATGTTCTCAATCCCAACTGTCCTATTAACGTTCATAAAAAATCTTTTCAATTAGTAATTGAATTTAAGTCATTTAAACCTGAGGGTCAATTCCATTCATAATATTGTACCACTCCACCCCTAAATTAGACCAATTTAACCAACATAGCTATTCTACATAAACATACTAAACAGAGAAACAGACGATTCCAGAGATTCAAATAGATTTAAATATATTTTTAACCTTTGATATTCATTTTAAAGATGAAAGAATAAGAGTATATTAACATGTTGACAGTACAAAGCCTCCCGGGATTTCATGAAATTTCCCGTTAACTATTTTAAAAAATTGTTGAAATACTGTAACAATTTTATGTCAATAAAATGTTGTCTTAACATTTTCTATGCAATTATGTGTACAAACATACAGTGATGGACTCCCCCCGGGGTGCCACCTGGAACTGGGGTACCACTGAGCCCTCTGACCCACCAGCCTGGGCTCCCTCTCACACTGGGCTGCTGTGACAAGTTGCAAAGCCCTCCAAGCTTGCACTTTCATCGGCATTCACACAGGTAGTGGGGACAGACCCAGCTGCAGTTATGTGCAAGCTCTCTAACCACCAGAATCTCATCCTAGGACCTCAGAGCAGTACGGTACTGCCCTGGTCAAATCTGGCAGTATATTCGCTTAACACCTGGGGACTATGTGGTTACTTGTGGTAACCAAGCTGAGATTTTCCCCAGACACCTTAGTCAAATGCACACTGGTTTGGATTAAAACATAAAATAAGTTTAACTACAAAAGGATAGATTTTAAGTGATTATAAGTGATAGCAAACAGATCAAAGTAGCTTACCTAGTAAATAAACAAAACTGTAAACTGAGTTTAACATACTAGATAGGTAGGATATGAATTAGCAGATTCTCACCCTGAGTGTTAAACAGGCTGGCAGATTCTTAAGGAGCAAGCTGCACTAACTTACAGCTTGGAATCCCCAGATATTTCATTCATAGGCTAAAAATCCCTTTAGCCTGGGTCCAGCACTTCTCCCCAGCTCAGTTTTATGTTCCTCAGGTGTTTCCAGGAATCTTCTTGGATGGGGAGTCAGTGAAGAACCACAATGATGTCAACTCCCTTGCCTTAAATAGCTTTTACATATGCTTTGTCTCAAAGCTTGATTCCCACGCCAGTCAGTGGAAAAACACTGATATCCCAATATGGAGTCCAGCACCAGGTGACCAGGTCACATGTGCCTGTAGTGTCACAGCAGCCATAACTGCTGTTTATAGCATCCTTCAGGAAGGCCTCCCTCTCTTTCCCCCGGTGTGAAATAAGCTTCTTGTAAGGCCTATTGTTCTCCCTAATGGTTTATTAACTTGAATGGGCCCTTCCCAGCCAGCCATCTAGACTGAGTCTTTTGTCTAGAGGGTGTTCCCCGTGTGTAAAGACATTTGAAACACAGATACATAGTCAATATTTCTAACTTCAAATACAAAAATTATACATGCACAGAAGTAGGACAATATTCAGTAAATCATAACTTTTTCAATATCTTACATGACCTATCTTGCATAAATACATCATAGTTATGCCATAATCATATCATATAATAATATCTCTATGAAGAATATAGAGTGCATTGTCACACTTACCTTTTCCCCAGGAAGCCCAGAAACACCATTTTCTCCTTTAACACCCACTTCACCCTAAAAGATAAATTGCATATTTAGAGATTTAAGATTTCTGAGTTTGCCTTGCTACCAAGGCAACATGTTATTAACAGATTGTTTATTTCCCATGTATAGTTCTGTTTTCTATCAAGCTTTACAAGATATCACAAAATGGTGCTCTCATTGTGAGAGCATTGTTTAGTGAAAATATGAGCTATGTAAATTTGGGGGGAAAATCTGATGGCATAATATTAAAAACCTCACTTAAAGAAAAAGAGAAAAGAAAAGCAATTCAGAATTAAGGCCTGGTAAACACTTATACACATGCTTAACTTTGCTACCCCAAGCACTCCCATTGATTTCAGTGGAACTAGTCACTGTGGTATTAAAGTTGTACCTCTGGGTGGGCACTTCTGTCATAACTTGCATTATAATGAAAAAGGTGGGATTTGTATTTTTCTACATTGCAGATGCATGAGGGCAAAATTTGTCTCTCTGTGACAGGGTTATGTATATACAAACATCAGTATCTAGTACCTTCACTCCTCATTAGGATAGATCAGAGAAATGGAAAGTGTGTTTCAATCACAGAATCATAGAAAATTAGGGTTGGAAGAGACCTCAGGAGGTCATCTAGTCCAACCCCCTGCTCAAAGCAGGACCAACACCAACTAAATCATCCCAGCCAGGGCTTTGTCAAGACAGGCCTTAAAAACCTCTCAGGATGGAGATTTCACCACCTCCCTAGGTAACCCAGCCAAGCTCCAACCTCTTTGGAACCCCCCTTCAGGTAGGTGAAGGCTGCTATCAAATCCCCCCTCACTCTTCTCTTCTGCAGACTAAACAAGCTCAGTTCCCTCAGCCTCTTCTCGTAAGTCATCGATTTTCTCATTTTATAGAAGGTTTCAAAAATATAGGGGCCAAAATCCTACTGTCCTAAAACAAAACTCCCGTTCATGGCAGGATTTAGCCCAGTGTCTACATATATGCTACATGCAGCTAATATTTCTACTGCTAGCAGTTCACTTGTGCAGCTAGTATTTCTTCTTTTTTAAGATGCTAATAGTCAGGGGCAAAAGAAGTTCTCACTGAATTGGAATATCCACACCTCATGCTAACAAGTCATTTAATGTTAAATTCATCTACTCCCAATTCTTAAAAACAAGTATAAAATGTGTTGGGGATTTGCTAAAAGATGTATAGGACTAATCCTCAGCTGGTGTAAATTGGCATACCTCACTAACTTCAATGCTTCTATGGCAATTTAGAATAACTGAGAATCTGGACCATTGTTTTTAAAAACAAGTGAAGAAAACACCACACACTTACATTTTCCTTAGTAATTTCAAGTATGACAATCTGTAAAGTTTTGAAATTAAAATGAGGGAAGATAACAAAAACACTGAATCAATATTAGATACTCTAATAATCACAAATGAAAAGTTTTTCTACTCTTATCTAAAAGATAAACTTTCTTCCTAGCAACGAACAACTCAATTCTGCAGCCCCTTTTCAGTCAATAGCACATATGACAGTAATCCCACTGATTTCAATGGCATTACTCACATAAGTGCTACTCAGTGGGAGAAAAAGGTTACAGAATTAGACACCAAGAAAAGAAAGAGACTGAAGGTCATGTTTTCTGGTTATCAGTTTCTAAAAGCAGGAGATTTCTCCAAGTGACTACTACCTGAACTTTGAAATGATCCCACTCTGTTGCCTATAACCCTAGCCCTTGTCTTTGTCTCTTCCTCTCTTGCCACAGCATCCATTCACAGAAACCCACAGAAATGACTGCACCTGCACAAGCCAGCTGGCAACTCTTATTTAATGACATGTGAGTGGGATCAGCAAATCAAGCAAAATGAATTACACATGTGTATGCAGCTGCATTCCATGCAAAAATTCAAATCCAGTGAATTGAAGCAATGATTAGTTTTTTTCATTTTTTTTTTTCATATTGAAATTGTCTTGAATATAGTTATGTTAAGTTAGTTCAATCCCAACAGCAGAATAAAGTCTTCAGTATGTGAATGACAAACAGCCACTGGCACTATGAGAGGGTGAACAGCAGGAATGACTCCTGTTTCCTTGCCTAATCACCCACATCATACTTTGCTTCCTGTGCCACTTTCAGCTAAGAGAGACCAGAACCATTTTATATTCAGCAGAATATTTTTACATATTATATGCTATAAATTCATAGTTCTATATGCTACTTATGTAAAAAAAAAGCTCTAAGTGTGAGTGACTTACTAACTAGTCAACCATGGTAAATTTATACAGCTGTTTCGGAACAGTAGATAGACTTTCCTCCTAAAGACCTTAAGACAACTATATTCCATAGCAAATTGGATTATAAAGTTATTCCTGTGTCATATAATTGTGATTTTAATAAGCAGAGTGTAAAGTGTACAGATTATACTTTATGTTATACTCCCTATATAAGAATGACTGAGCTTTCATACAGACATCAGGAGAGACTAAATAGCAGAAAAAAGAATCAGTAGGGGTATGAATGGACGAATGGGCTATAAGGTGGATAGAAAGCTGGCTAGATCATCAGGGTCAACAGGTAGTGATCAACATCTCAATGTCTAGTTGGCAGCTGGTATCTAGCAGAGTGCCCGATGGGTCAGTCCTGGGGCCAGTTTTGTTTAACATCTTCATTAATGATCTGGATGATGGGATGAATTGCACCCTCAGCAAGTTCACGGATGACACTAAACTGGGGGGAGAGGTAGATCCACTGGAGGGTAGGGATAGGGTTCAGAGTGACCTAGACAAATTGGAGGATTGGGCCAAAAGAAATCTGATGAAGTTCAACAAGGGCAAGTGCAGAGTCCTACATTTAGGATGGAAAAATCTCATGAACTGCTACAGGCTGGGGACCGACTAGCTAAGCAGTAGTTCTGCAGAAAAGGACCTGGGGATTAAAGTGGATGAGAAGCTGGATATAAGTCAACAGTGTGCCCTTGTTGCCAAGAAGGCTAATGGCATACTGGGCTGCATTAGTAGGAGCATTGCCAGCAGATTGAGGGAAGTGATTATTCCCCTCTATTTGGTAAGGTGAATCTACTAGTGAGGCCACATCTGGAATATTGCGTCCAGTTTTGGGCCCCCACTACAGAAAGGATGTGGACAAATTGGAGACAGTCCAGCGGAGGGCAACAAAAATGAGTAGGGGGCTGGGGCACATGACTTACGAGGAGAGCCTGAGGGAACTGAGCTTATGTAATCTGCAGAAGAGAAGAATGAGTGGGGATTTGATAGCAGCCTTCAACTACTGAAGGGGGGTTCCAAATAGGATGGCTGTTTTCAGTAGTGGCAGATGACAGAACAAGGAGCAATGGTCTCAAGTTGCAGTGGGGGAGGTCTAGGTTGGATATTAGGAAAAACTATTTCACTAGGAGGGTGGTGAAGCACTGGAATGGGTTACCTAGAGAAGTGGTGGAATCTCCATCCTTGGAAGTTTTTAAGGCCTGGCTTGACAAAGCCCTGGCTGAGATGATTTAGTTGGTGTTGGTCCTGCTTTGGACTAGATGACCTCCTGAGGTCTCTGCCAACCCTGATATTCTATGATTCTATGTACATTATTATTTTATCTGCGGTTATTCTATAACAGCCACCATGCTTTGCTTTTCATTCATAGGCCTCAAAGTAGTTTACAAAAGGTGAGCATGCATCACTATCCCAAGATTACAGATGGGGTGACTGAGGCACAGAGTCAGTGGCAGAGATGAGGAAAAAACAGGTTCACTGACTCCTAGCCCTATGCTCCATCTGCTAGACCAGTCTTCCTTGTCCCAGAGCATGCTAGCAATACATTGAATACTGAATGTGTGCTTTATAAATATAAACAAATAAATTAATAACAACAAATGAGTGCAATAATAGAACAGAATTAAAATCAATGACTTAGAGAGAAACTATCAGCAGCAATTTTTAATCAGGCAAAGTGGTTAATTTTGAGCTTTCCAAAATACTCAGACAAAACAGACTGCTTTCACCAGACACCCATCATTTGCTGGCTCAGGGTTAAAGAGACTTGGATTTAAAGGCAGGATTCTAAAAAAAACACATGTGTTAAGTATGAAACTACAGGGCTAATAAGAAGTAATATGGGGAAGATTTTCAAAGGCACAAAAGGGAGTTGGGCACATGAGTTAAGAATCTGATTATAAGGATTACTGGTGATTACAGGTATCAAAAATTAGAACCATACTGTAATTACAGTGTAACTACACTGCACTGTAACAAATGTTCATGCACTATGAAATATAACTGATTAATATAATCTGACAAGACTGGTGATCTAGTTGTAGAAGAAAATCTGAGTTCAAAACCTGAGCTGTGTGAGCCTGCAGGTTATGGTGAACTGAACCCAAATGTTTTATTCACAAAGATTGGAAGCAAACCCATCTATTTATGTTGTTTGGAAGTTATACCATAATTGAATACACTCTGACAACCACAGGAATCCCATCTCTCTCCCTTGCATTGTGGTCCTTTCTATTACCAGCCCCTTCTTTCAATTACTGTGAAGTCCTTGATGTTTTGAGTTGAGAGCAGATAAAACACCGTAAGGGCTAGGCTCAGGTGACCTCGCACCTCTCCTGGAGACAGGCAGCCTTTCTCCCTGATACTCTGTGGGGGGGTTCCCAGTTGCCTCTTCCCCTACTTTTTATCTTATCAAAGGGACCATCAGGAATGGACAATCTTCAATACACACCAAAGGTATTGAAGAGAGGCCAGGACACAATTGACTCCTGGATAGGTAGCAGGAAGGGGACACACTAATCCCAGGCCACTAAGGCCCAGATCCACAAAGGGACTTATAGCTAGGCACCTAAGAATGTGATTCAGAAAAGCCAGCAAGCTAGGTGGAGAGCTGCCTAAAATAGCCAATGGAAGATGCTGAGGAGAGGGGTGTGTCCTAAACCCTCCCCCTTAGGGACTTAGATGTCTAAATCTGGGTTTCAGGGAAGCACCTATCTCTGCTAGCAATCCACAACCAGGAACCCCTCTCCTGGAGT